CTAGCTCCGTGAGCGGGCAAGATGAAGCAAATCCTGCACTGTGATTGACTACCCGAGCGGACCAGATGGCGCTATCGCTCGGGATTACACGCTGTGTCCCGCAAGAAAAAATTTTCGCCGAAGCCGAGGCAGGTTCATAAAAGTCCATATAACAAATCACTTATTGACCAAGTTTGTTCGATCAAGATGGCTGGACGTTGTCCTCCTTCTTTACCTCGACTCCGTCTCGGTCCATAAACACACAGAAAAGGAACTTGGCCAATATCCAGCCATCTTGACTGAACAAACTTTGTCAGTAACCCATACATCTTGTCATTTGCTAGACTACCTTACTAAGGATGACACGAGAACATATAAATTCTTTACAAGCAGGACAAGAATTTCACTGAGAGAAAAGATGGAATTCTCTGAAATGACGTACGAAGGACAGATCCGATTGAGACCCCGTCCACACTACACCAAACGCAACAATCACGGGTCATTTTGGAATTGTGTTTGACGAAAACTCCGTCAGGGAAATCACACGATTATCGTGACATGGTTTTCGAAAAGCTCCGTTTTTAAAGCGTTTTCCGTCCACACGAAAACAAAAAGGCGGCGTTTTCAAATTCCTCCGCTTTGAAGAGCGTTTCCGAAAAGCTCCGTTTTCGTGACGGTTTAGTGCGGACGGTAAAGCTGCGTTTTCAAATTCCTCCGGCGTAGCGTGGGCGCTGCCTAAGCTAAAGCAAGAGCAAGCTACATTCTGGTGTTTAACTTACAGGCATAAGTTCTTGATCCGTAAATGGTTCAACGTGAGGGTCCAGAAACTGGCAACAAAAAAGTGTGATAAAAGAAAATAATTGTCAAAGAATGCCGAAAAAATCTACCAGGTGTAGTGCACTGCATTCAGAACAAAAATATTTTAAATGTAGTTGTTGCCCCGACTGCTGGTACAAGCGCAAACTGCCTCCACACAAAATACTGGTACACAAAGTATGGTAGAGTAAACAGGATGGAATGTATACTTATGATAAAAAAACAAAACGTTTCTGGGCTGAAAAAAAGTGAACTTAAGGGTTATCAGTTGCCTGACAACAAATGGCACATATGAATGAAACACAAAGTATAGCACGAAATAGAAAAACTCCCTCTCAAAATGTTTCTATTTTGTTCGTTTATTTCTTTGCCTTTTAAAGGGAATAAATACTGTTAGTATACGGAGCGGTTTTTGAGTGTCGTAAAACCAAAACCAAACCAATTGCCTGATTACTCTCGACACGCAATTGAAAACCGCTATTATAATAATGTTTGAAGTTTATTTACAAATTTGAAGCCTAAGTGAGAAAGTTTAAACGAGACGAACATTTTCACACAAATCGCTGCGTGGTTTATACTCACTTTATTTCTCTCAGGAAGACCTTTGACTGGAAGCTGAAGATACCATGTTTCTGTTTGATCCATGAGCTGAACAAACAGAGCACTGTTCACAAAAACATAGCAGTCAAATTATTACCCCGATTTGACAGTGAATGGGTACAGCTACAATAACAGCAAAGTGTCTCTGCTCTATTCTGGGCCTTTCCCTCAGTATCCTATGCTTTACGCAAATGAATGCTAAATTAAAACAATTAGACACTAAGAGACAAACAAGAAGACGATTCACTGTTTAAACACAGATACAAATCAAATGAAAAAACATGTGCTCATTCTTCACTAGAAATGTACTAAGTTTTACACAGTTGAAGCCCTAAGTTACATCGCGAAACAAGCAATTTATTATTAACACATAAAACGGCAGTCAAATGACTAGTGGGAAGGTCATACATGTACACATGATGTCAAAAATAATCATAGACGAGATAAGTGTTAGTAGGGTAACTTGAAGACTGATGCTGATAACACTTACCAAGACCTGAAATCAATAATAATAACACTCCTATTGAAAAGATTCTTGATCTCATCTACTTACAATGCATCATGTTCCAAGAAATTTGGGTCCATTAGAAATCTGGCCATTTCCCTGTGGATCGATAACAAACATCGTTGTATCACTTTCAGAAAACAAAGCAGTGATTAAAACATGATTATAGCTTTTTTGAAAAGGTACGTTGAGTTCATCCAAACAAACAAGTCTGAACTTACAAGGTTCGACCTTCAAGATGCTGACTAATCATAGTGTCTTCGGTCAGAACAAACACAATTGGAGCAAGGAGTTCGTGCATTCCCTGTAATTAAAACAAAACAGACATAATTATATATACCGTAGTAACAACAGAGGAATTTATTTAATTTCCAAAGAAACTGTTTTGCTGTGTCGGCAGCTAAGTGAATTCTTAGCTGTTTATCAACTTGAAGTTGTAAAACGTAGTATAGTACATGTATTACAAAATTAACTGCCAAAGCTAGTTTGCTGAGATAAAGTTAAGGGTTGACACTTGAAACCACAGCTTAGCAAACTCACTATAGTGGTCATTTCACCTTTATCAACGTCAAGTTCAGCAAATAAACAGTAAAATGTATACTGTGGTGTCTTAAATCAGAAGTTATTCCATTTTAATTTTTGCACTCACGAAGTCAATGTAACATCACAACATGGCTTTGCAGTTTTGTGGATGAAGCCCTACGCTGCTTGGGATGGGCCATTTATGTAAGTTACACGTATATATTCAAGGTACTGTACCTGTTTGTAACTCAGGGCTTCATTCTTTTTGGCGTGACAGAAAAGTATATGAAGCATCATTTCCCTAACAAAGGACAAGTTAGCAGTTAAAATAACTGATATTCAGCCAATCATGAAGATGTTATCAAATTACTGTTAACACAAACATGACGACAAAGTATGCTCTGCTTCACTTACTTTACTTTTGACTGCTGAAAAAACTCAATTTCGGGAAATCTGTGAGGGAAAAAATTGAAAAAACAAATCACAACCCATATCCTGAGTTGGTACCTAGGGTACCCTGAAATCAAATTGTACTAACTATATATGGGTTATTGACCAAGTGTGAGGTCAAGATGGCTGGATATTGGTCAAGTTCTTTTTTCTTT